ATAGCCCCGGGAGCTCCCTGGGAAGATGGTTTGGCCACCTGGTGTCCTAGAGACGGCAGCTGTGAGTCAGAATCAGCTCAGTTGCACCCGAGAGCAGCACCACCCACCGTGTACAAACCAGTATATGCCACCACCATGCTGCCGCCTCACTGGGTGAAACTAGGACCTTCCTGCCCGCAGCAGCCTTAGATTCTGTGAGGACTAAGGTGCGCCTGACCCGGGCATGCGTTCTGTGAGTCAGCCCAAAGTGTTCAGGGCGGCACCTTGTCTTACGCACCTTGGACAAGTGGTCGGGAGAGACCAGTCCATGGAGAAGGACATCGTGCTTGGTGAAGTGGAGGAGGGGCGGTGACCAAGAGGCAGGGCCTCGGCCAGATGGCCTGACGCAGAGGTTGCAGCCGTGGGCTGGGGCACAGGAGCCCTTGTGAGGATGGCGCCAGTGTTCCCTTCCTTCTGCTGGACATAGGGTGGTTATGGGTCGGAACCTCACAACAAACACAGTAACAACAAGGATGCCCAGGGTCAGAGAGCGACAGACAGGCGCAGGGAGGGAGGGAAGGAGACAGAATCAGAGAGGGAGAGAGGAACAGAGGAGGGAGGAAGGGAAAGAGGCAGAGGGACTGAGGGAGAAGAAGAAGTAGAAAGAGGGAGCAGTGGGGAGGGGGCTGGTGCCAGTAGTGATGGAGAAGTGGGCAGGCGAGGATCTGGTGGATCCCTGCACCAGGACAGATGGCTCTGTATCAGTTCCCGTCCTGAAGAGTCGCACACCTGCTGAGACGCCCACAGACTTGCCTTCACCCTCAGGCTACACCCTGGATAGTTGCACCAGCCGGACACCCGCCCCAGTCCCTGTGATCTAGTATCAGCCTGCCCCACTGTGACCCACTCCACGTCCCACCTCCACTTCCCATCTCCACCTACCACCGTCCAGAAGGACTTGGCGTCCCCTGAGCACGCTGGGCTTGCTGTGTTCCCAGGTGTCCCCATCCCCTTCAATCCTCTCTCCACCTTTTCTGCTAGTAAGGTTTGCTGAAGATCATTGGACCACAGAGGGAGCAGCACGTTGACAGGAGCTGCCAGCAGTTCAGGCCGGGTTCAGAAGAGGACGTGGCACAGGGATCTCTCTGCTGAGGTCAAATGGGTCTTGGCTCAAAGCAGAGAATACCAGAAAGACGTTGACTTGTGTTTCGTGGATTATGCCAAGGCATTCGACTGCGTGGCTCCTGACAGACTGTGGACAACCTGGAGAAGAATGGGCACTCTAGGACGCCTCCATGTGCCCATGCAGAACTTGTACACGGATCCAGAACAGAACAAGGGAATGCTGCCGGGTTTCAAAATCAGGCAAAGGGTGTGTCAGCGTTGTATCCTCTCACCATCCTTCTTCAAGCTGTGTGCCGCGCACATCATCAGGGAAGCTGGGTTACGTGGGGAAGCGTGACAAACGCCCCTCCCGACTTGGAAGCGCGCCGGATTCCCTTGTTCCGTTTGCACTACGGCCTCTGGATCCTGGCACAGGCTCCAAGTGAGCACAGGGCAGCGTTCCGGAATTCCCGTGTGTCTCAAGGCCATCCACAGTGTATGACAGTCCACATGGTCTGCTGCCTTTTCGGAGAGACAACGAAACACAAGTCAACGTCTTTCTGGTGGTCTCTGCTTTGAGCCGACATCCGTCTGACTTCGGCAATGACAGCCGCCTGGCCCTGCACCGCCCTCACGGTGGCTGGAGTCTCTGTCCAGCCAGGTGGGGGCTGTCTTCAGGGGCTTTGAGTTGGTGCCAACTCCCAGTGAGCGGAGTGCCATGGAAGGTAACGCCGGCTGGGCCTCACCAGCCTCACCATGTCCACTGTGTGGGTCAGTCCCTCTTGTGGAGGGTCTTCATGGTGTTCGTGGACCCTTTTACTTTGCCATCTCATGCATAGTCTTCCATGCCCACATGGGGGCCCAGTAGGTGTCGGTATGAGCCCTGCATTCTGCACCCAGCACCTGTAATCTGTCAGGCCTGCCTGGGGTGGGGAGTGACCCTCAGCCTCTGTGGTCCTGCCTCTGGGCTTCCTGGAGAAACAGATGCTGAGGCAAGCACCTAGACCCCAGGAGTCTCTGTGGCACGTGACCTTAGGAAGGTGGGATGGGGAGGAGGAGAGGCCGAGGGGAGCAAGCAGGCAACGGAGGGAGCGTTCCCATGAGGTTAAGGAGCCCTGGTGGAGCTGTGGCCCTTGTTGGGCTATGCATCACAGGTCAGCGGTGTGAACCCACCAGCCTCTCTGCGGGGGAACGGTGAGGCTTTACACCTCAGAGACCCATGGGGGTCATTCTACACTGTCCTGTAGGGTCACTGGCAGTCAGAAGGGACCTGATGGCCGTGGGGAGGGCTCCGGGAGGAGCCCTGGCCTCGTGAGGTAGACGCTGAGCTGCTAGCCACAAGGCTGGTCAGTCGTGTGGTCCCACCAACTGCTCTGAGGGAGAAAGAGGTGGCTGCCTGCCCCCATGCAGGTTGACAGCCCCGGGAACCCTAGGGAGTTGTTGTCCCCAGTCCTAGGGAGTCACTGTGAGGTAGGATGGACTAGATGGATCTGTTCATGAGGTTAGCACCGGGGCCCATGGGCCTTCACTCCAGTGTGGAACTCTGGGAGACGGCGAGGCAGTGCCACTCGTAAGTGGGCACGGAGGACATGGATTGCCCCCTCTGACAGGGGTTACGTCAACGTGACCTTGGGGTCCCCACTGGAGGTGGCAATGGAAGGGCTGGCAGCACTCGGAGAGACGCTGCCACCATCCAGGGCCATAACGTGACTCCACCCCTTGCCCCCATCACCTGCCAGGTGAGGTGCAGGTGGGCCAATGGTGTCTGCCATTGGGTGGGAGGGAGGGCCCATGCCTCGGCCCGGGGACGAGGGCACTAAAGGAGCTGGCGGGAGCCATGGGAGGGCAAGGTACCTGGCTTTGCATGGGCACGGGGCAGGGCTGAGCCTCTGTCCACTGCAGGGCTGAGCCTCTGTCCACTGCAGGGCTGAGCCTCTGTCCACTGTTCACTAGCTGCTCTTGTCCACCTGGATATCACCAACCCTAGTATCACCCACTGAGTGTAGCACGAGCCTCAGACTCCTCCCACTGGAAAACCAGGGGGCTGGGGCATCTACCCACCAGGCCCCACCACCAGGGTCAGGTGAGGGTCAGGCAGAAGGGTGGCGTTATGTCCCCGTCACGGGTTATGCAGAGCAGGGAAAGCAACATGGGTGCTGAGTGTTGATATTTTGTGGGTGGGCACTGGGGTGGTACCCACAGTGAGATTCCTATGGCCAGGTTGCCGGGGGTGCCTGCTAAGTCCACCTTGCTGGTGTAGAGCTTAGAGAGCACCCAGTATATGCCCAAAGGGAGGGATGAGTTTTGGGCCGACCGATGGATGGAGCACCTGGGGCGGTGAACGACTTAAAGTGACCCTTGTCACCGTGCAGAGCCCTGGTGGTGCAGCAAGCTATGGGCTGGGCTGGAAACCAGGAGGTCAGCCGTTGAGACCCTCCAGCTGGTGGATTCAAACAGCCTTCCTGGTGGTTAGCAGCCCCGATGCTTTACCACGACGCCACCAGGGTCTCTTTGGAGGGTCCCCCAAGGAGGCTGTTCACGATGGCGGGATAATAGTTCCACGAGTCTGCCCAGGCTCCACCCACTGCTTCCTTTGAGCCACACAGCATCCCCTGTACTGGGCAACAGGATGTAGGGGTCTGTTTCGTTGACGAGGAAATAGGCTTGGTGGAAGCCATGGCTGGCCTGAGTTTACACTTCCCTCCAGCGCTGGAGCCACCCAGGCGTTGGGACGCCCGATCACCCAGCCTTTCTTCCTGGGCATTTGTGAGAAGGGCCGTAACTTGTTTCTGGAATTCTCCCGAAGGTTCAGCACCACGAGAGCAAGCCGGAGCATGCCCAGTTCACCTTGGCCGACGGCGTGAACGAAGACCTGGCTCTCGGTGACCAGATGGTGGACATCCTGGCCTCCGAGGACCCCGGGAGCATGCTGCAAGCCTTGGAGGAGTAAGAGCTGGTTTGTTGGCCAACAAGGGGGGAGGGGATAGCTCACGGGGCGCATGCATCTGTCAGCCGGCGTGTGCCCGGCACTGAACGTTGAGGAGAGCTGTGTGGCCAGCTGTGGCTAGGTGCCATCGAGTCAGCTCCGACTCACGGTGAGCCCATGCAGGACGGCACAAAACGTTGCCTGGTCCTGGGCCGTCTTCACGATCACCGGCTGGCCTGAGCCCCTGCGGAGGCCACTGTCTTCGGAGTGCCTTCCCACCTGCAAGTGGTGCTGCAATGCACCGGGCCTGGCTACATGCTTCTTGCAGACCACTCTGGCCGCTCAGGAGCCTCCCTCCCTCTGCCCACAGAGCGGTGAGCGTTGGTTACCTGGCATGACCCCAGAGGGCTCGTCTGGAGAGTCAAGTGTATGCTTGCTTCTCCCCCTTTCCCCCCGCCCCCCAACAATCAGTATTGGTTGGAGGCTGGTTTTGTTGTGGTCTTGTATGAGGGACCCGGCGAGTAAAGAAAAAACCCTGAGAATTACTTAAAAAAAAAATTAAAAGATCACTTTATTGGGGGCTCTTAACAGCTCTTACAACAATCCATGCATCAATTGCATCAAGCGTATTTGCAAAGGCTGCC